AGAGCAAGAAGGCAAATTTGCAGAAAATTTGGAAAGGCTTCTCCAGCTATCCTATTCAGATTCTCCTTGTAAAATAAGGAATTCCTTGACATGAGACCAATTTATGGATTCCATATTAGCCTGAAGCAGAATTAGTGACTGAGCTTGAATCCAATAAAGCTGCAAGTAAATAACTAAAGGTACCCTCTCCAAGTTATGAGATCATTAGTTCAAATCATATTGAAACATCATCTCACACTGATAATAGTTTAAAAGAACTCAAAGGGTTTGTTGGTTAAATAGTTATATGGAATGCAAGGAACAAACCCTAAGACAACATGTGTTTTAAGTATAACTTAATAAGATATATTACTAAAAATAGCAGACCAAAGCCTGTAGAATATAAAAAACTCTTATAAAAAAAAAGATACCAGAAAGAGAAAATTATTATTATACTTGTGGGAAACCTAGCCATGAAAGCAAATACAGTGAGGAATCAACAGTTCTATAGACACCAAAACAACAATACCCCAAGGTTGAGTGTTTGAACTTAACAAGATTGAATGGACAACAACAGGCTAATCAGACATAGAAAACATACAAGGCAAAGTCCAGCTCAGAATATTCAATCTGTCCCAAATGAAATAAGTTAATTGCTTAAATAAACCAGTCCATGAGTACACATGTCTACTGAAGAGAAGCCTTCCAGTATGTTTAAGTGGCATGGGTTCTATATGACTATAGTTTAATCCAAGTTGATAATAAAAGGTGGGAATTGCCTCTAGATATGAGAAATAATAGGGAGTGATGCAAGCAACAAGTAGACATAAGGTTCCAATAAGAGAGAAGTTAGAAGTTACCCTTACTGTTGAATACTTCTCTGTGCCTCATGGTGTGTGTGTAATTGATATCGAATAAGAGTACATATTGAAAACTGACTTCACATACAGACAGAGATGCAAGGTTAGGTTAGCTTTGAATAGCTTCATTGTTTACAACAAGGAAGTCCCTGTTCACAACAATATAATTACTGCACCAGAGATTGATCTTTCCATATAAACAAGAAGAACAGTCATCATTGTACTTCTGAGAAATGAAGTAGTCATAACAGAACTTATTATAAATTCATATTTAGTGACTTGGCTGTAAGAAAGTAAACAATTAATTGTGCTCTGATGGATTAATACTTGGTAGAACCTTTGTGGAACTGAATGAAAAAGATGTCATCATTAAGACCATGAACACAATAAAACATAAAATCTGAGTAAAATCTGGATGTGACATTATTAGATGTAAGGCTATACACATAGTAGTTCAACATTAAATAACCTTGGAAGGAGTCACTTTTGATAAACAAAGTTGAAGCTTTACCTAAAGACAGCTTGCCATCACATTTACAAGAATCATATTAGTGTAGCTGTGGAGGTCATACAATTGATCACACTTAGCAGTTGCATAACATGCTATTGAAATATCAAGACACCTTCTCCAGTAAATCTCATTAGTAAGGATAAAGAAGGAAGACTTATCAAGATTGATACTAGAAATTCAGCCTCATTATGTAAGTTAGGCAGAAGACTTTCACTTTCAAAACAGGTTGAAGCTTTCAAAGAGATAAGAGCCATAACGGAACAAAATGGGATAAAATCCAGTAATAGGCCTTGGGCATCCTCTATTGTACTTGTGAAGAAGGTTAGATTCACAAAATTCTGCATGGACTACTGATTGGTGGACAAAGTTACAAAAAGAGATGTCTATCCATTGCCATGGATTTCCTTTACTTTGGATATGCTACATAGATCAAAGTGAGTTTCAGCTTTGGATTTGAAAAGTGGATATTGGTAAGTGGAGAATAATAAAGCAAGTAGAGAAAAGACAATTTTTACAAAAGGAAACGAATTGTAATAATTTATTGTGTCATCAAGTAAATTATGTAATGTTCCTACAATATTTCAATAATTGATAGAATGTGTTCTGTCTGAAGTACTATAGAATGTCGTACTCATCTACTTGAATGACATTGTCACATATTGGAAGATCTTTAATCAAGCTTACAAACGCTTAAGAAAGGTTCTGGATGAATTTAGGAAATAAAACCTCCAACTGATTCCTCAAAAGGTGAATTTCTTGGGACAGATAGTCAGCAGAGAAGAAGTGTCTACAGTTCTACCAAATACCGATTCTGTTAATAATTGGTCAACATCATAGAACCCGTGTGAGGTAAGAGCATTTCTTGGACTGTGCTATTTCTATCATAATTTTGCAATATCGTTTCTGACATTGCCCATCCTTTAGACAAATTACTTGAGAAGACAAACAAGTTTTTATTACCTGCTGACTGTGGATAAGCATTCAACAGAATGAAAAATGAATTGACAACTACTCATTTTATATATAGATACCAACGATTCTGCAGTAAGAGCAGTTTTGTCACAAGCACAACATGGAAAGAACATGTGACTGCTTACTATAGCAAAGCAAAGAATGCAACAGAAAGGAGGTAGGAGATATTTCACAACTCGAAAAAAGTACTAAGTATTGTTCAACCTCTGAGTCACTTTCATCATTACCAACATAGACAAAATCTATGGGCTGATCATGCAGCATTGAAGTGGCTGGTGAGCTTTTGCAACCCAGAACGTGAAATAGCTAGATGGCTTCAAAAACTCCAGAAGTACCGCGTTAATATGTATACTGCCCTGGACGAAACCATGAAAAACCATGCATTTGTGAGACATGTATATATTGTGAGAAGAGGGAAGCATAAGAAAGAAAGGATTGCCAGACTAACAAAGCATGGCATCAACAAGTTATGATTTGGTCCAACACTCATTTCAAAAATGCTCAGGCAAATGATGCAAGTGTGAAACCAATTATTCAGTAGCTTGAGAATAGTGCAGAAGGATCCTCATGGCAAACAGCTGCTCCATAGAGCCTGAAACCAAGATGTATTGGGCTCAATGGGAATCTTATATTTGCAAGATGGCTTATTATGTTAGAAATGAGAAGACTCTAGTGGGCAAAAACAATGACTATAGTTGTAACTTCCACAATCTCTACATTCGGGAGTACTTCATCACTTTCCAATTTCTGGACACTCGAGTGCTAAGAAGACACTGAAATGAGCAAAATTACTCTTTTTACTAGGTTGGGTGAAAGGGCGTTGTGGAAGATTGGTATAAAACACATGAATTCTGCTGTGAGCAGAAAAGTCCACTAAAAACAGAATGAACAGCTACAGCAGTATTATGTTGGAGCATCACTAGAGAGAGCTGCTGTTGATATGTTTCATTCGATTCTATAAAGTAACACTACAAATAAATAAACATGGTCGGGATGAACTACTTCACCAAATGCCCAGAAGCATATGCTACTCCTAACTAGGAAGCAGAATCTCTTACAAAGAAATTCATCAATGAATTTGTCTCAAGATTTGGTATACGAGTGGAGCTTAAGTTGGATTAGGGATGGAATTTTGATTCATACCTTTTTGTAGAAATATGTCAAATCCTTGTTTTTGAAAAGACCAGGTTAACAACACTTCATCCATCTTCTGACAGCATGGTGGAAAAATGTAACGTGTGATCAAGATCTTCCACTTTTACTAAGGATTTATCATACAGCAGTGCATGAAGCTACCAGCAACACAGCATCATCAGTAATGATCAGGAGAGAACTGAAAGTGCCATTTGACCTTCTGTACCCTTGTTCAGAGAACAGTCACTCAGAAGAGTCTTATAAGAGATATAGAGAGAGATTAAGAAACAACACAACTGATGACATATATGGCTTTATTCAAGAAGAGTTTAAGCAAGTGATAAAATGAGAAGTCACTATGATGTTACTTTTGATAAGACTGGTTTCTGTCAAGGTGACATGGTATAGTTGTACAATCCCAGCTGCAAGAAAGAATAAACTCCAAAGAGAAGTATGCACTTGGAGGGTCTGCGTGTTTTGTTGAAAGGATCAATGATGTAGTCTGTAGAATCCAAGCCAAAAGTTCTCCATTATAGTCATCTTTGGAAGTGGAACAAAAGCCAACTGGGTAATTACAGATAAGAATTCATCAGCAGAAACTCAGTAAACTGAGGAGCCCAGAGTTTCTATCGAGACTACTTTCAGAAAATCTTGAAGAATGGCGTTACTTGTAAAGTCATCCAAACAACTACCCATGAAGGACTCCACAGTGTCAGGATGTCTAGTGACAACAAGGAATAAAATTCCATTCCATTTGTATACTATAGGTCTCAGAAGAGAAAACTACTCAAAAGAATTGGTTAATGGACAATTTAGAGTAGGGTTTTATTTTATTATGTTTGCATTAGTGTTATTCTCTATCTTTACATTGTACAAGATTATAATGGTATTGACTCTACCTCCATAGAAATCATCAAGATGAACACGATGCTATACAACATGACATGAGAGGAATTATAGTAAATCAATATTACATTTCTTCATTGTGTTAAGTACTACGTTCATAGTTAACAACAAATTATTATATCTGTGCGCTTCAAGTTGTCACTCTCTCTCTCCTGGACTCATTTTCTTATACTTACTTACGTGGCAGGGGTTCAATTTGAAGCGAGAGAGAAGACAAGAGACTTCTCTCCCCAACTGGGGTGCTCAAGAACACTTTGTTCCTCTTCAACCCCGCTCGTGGAATGTTAATTCTCGTGAATCCAGAGAATGTTTGAATGTTGCTGCTTTTGTGAGACACCAGGCACGGGTAGATGTTCTTGTATGTGTGGAATATGCGATATTTTCTTGATGTTGTATTAACTAATAATTTATTGCTGAATGATTAGTTGATTTATTAACTAATAGATAGATTAATCAATGAATTAACTAATCAACGACCCCCGGGAACCTATAAGTTCGATGACCCAAATTTAGGTGTGGGGGAAACCGGAGTACCAGGAGAAAACCCACTTTCACAGGCAGACGCCGAATAATCTATTTGCCCTGTGACCAAGCTGTAAAAAGAAAAAAATAATTATTAGTCTTCACATAAAACATACATTCATTCGATTAGCCATCGTGATTTTGTATGAAGAGGTTGTATGGGGATGTGTGTTTTGTAGGGGCGCTGGCAATCTTTACAGAGTGTGTTTGTCAGGTTGTTTCTATTTTCTGCTTTTGTGTAATACTTATGCGCTAGATCACTAAGCTTACTATTAAGAGTAAGGAGATTGATTATTTTGTGTAGGTATTTAATGGGGTGTGTTTTGTTGATTGGTGGGCTATTCTTAGTATCTTATTTTTGTTGTTTTTGTATTTTATCTAAAGTATTGTTGGACATATTATAAGTTACTTGACAGCCGTATTCTATGAGCGGGCGAATGTATGCTTTGTAGATTTAGGGTATTGTGTCTGCTGTGCATCCAGTGTTTTTGCCGGCTATTCTCTGTAGGTGGGTGATGCGTTTTCTGATCGACGAGTGTATGTTTTGAACGTGTTTTGTCCATCTTAAACGTTTGTCAAATGTTATGTCAAGGAACTTGATGTGGTTACTTATTTCTATTGGTGTGTTTCCAAGTTTTAGTTTAACGTTTTCTGTGTCTTTTTAGTTTTCTGCATAGAATTATTGCTTGGAATTTTGACGAGTTTGGTGCAACCCTCTATTTGTAACACCAGCTGAAAATGGCGTACAGTGATTTTTGGACTCGTGACGTGACCAAGATAGGCTGCAATATCGTCAGAGTATTGAGAATTATAAGTATATGTGAAATGGAATGTCGCTTACGAATATGATTTAAAGAAGTGGCGAAAGGACAGATCCCTGGGACATTCCGGCTGTAATGTTGAATGGTATTGATAACACGTCATTAACTTTAACCTTTGCTGTTCTGTTGGTAAGGAAGTTTGATATCCATCTGACTGTGGGATTATCAACTTTAAGATTGTGCAGTTTGTATAAGATGGCATTGTGTTATACGCTGTCGAAAGCTTTTGTGACGTCCAGAAATATTCCTAGTGTTAAATTTTTTTATGACCCACTTTGGTGTATTTAAACCAATGTTTAACCCACAAAACACACTACATTCTATAGAAATATTTTGTTGTAACATGTGATGAAATTGTAATATCACTCAGATAACTGCTATAATGACCAACAGTTAGTATAGTACAATGTGCTGTATGTCCTAGAGATTTTGCCAAATGAAGAAGCAATCAATGAACATCTTAGATCCAATCACTTTTGGTGAGTGTCTTATATGTTTTGTTTATGTGAATTTGTATTATCTGTCCAAATGTATCCCCCAGTAGGACAAACAGGAAGTTTCTGTACTTACAATGCTAAAATCCGGGGTTCGATTCCCCCTTGGTGGATACAGCAGCTAGCCCAATGTAGCATTGCTCTAAACAAACAAACGTGATCAAACATATCGATATTCCTCAGTTATTATTGCATTGGTTTGTTGGTATTCTGAAGAAACGTCATCATGTTTTTCCAATTATGATCTGTCCACAAGATGGAAAAGACAATGGATATTCCTCATCTGATGATAATGATTTTGCATAATCACATGATTTATTATTACAAGTCCTTTTAGGCGACCCCCTCCCTAGTGGCACAGCAGTATGCCTGTGGACTTACAACGCAAGAAACTGGTTTCGATACCCGTGGTGAGTAGAACAAAGATAGTCCATTGTGCAGCTTTGTGCTTAACTTCGAACAACAACTACCTTTTTAGAACTATCAAATCTTGAGAAAGAGATTTTCATAAATGCCCATATAGCATTTTGTATAATTATGTAAAGCAAATGAATGAATAACTCATTTTTTTTTGAGCATTAAGGTTAAATTTTAGAGGCATACAAATTACGTTCGTAAACTATTTAGGCTAAACTTAATCCTTAATGAGTAGTGAACATAAAATCTTTTGTTTGTAAAGCATATTTTATAATGATAAACACCATACATTAAATGTGATGTATAATATTAGGTCGTCAAGAAATTAATATCACGTTTTGGAACACTTTCATTAACCACCCAAAAAATTTACGTCGGATATAGTTAAACGAACCGCCTAAACGTTACGTTAGTGTATGGTATATAAGGTGTAAAGTTTAGTATACTATAAGCCCTTACAGTGACGGCACACGACAAGACACACATTCGGCATGTAACACTGTTTGAATACAAGAAGGGAAACAACCTCTCTAGCCACAAAGAATATCAAGGAAGTTTATGGAAATGTTTTGAACGTTCGTAAGTGTGTCAACGATGGTTCAGCAAATTTTGTTCAGGTGACTTTAGCCTTAAAAACTGTGATGACAGGGGCTGACATGTTGGAATTGATAA